TTCCGGTTGTGATTTCGAGTTGAATCTATTGTATATTGAGGGTTTTAATGATTATGAGTGTTTGGGGAAAGAACCTTTGTTGTTGAGAGGGTTTAGAGTTGGAGAAACTAAGGAGAAAAGTCAGATTTTTCTGGGGAAAAGGCAGGGGCTTCGCGCCAGCCAGCGCCCCCCAAAAGGGGCTCTGAAGTTCCCCCCTTGGGGCGGCACGCCATGCAGTGTGCCCAGCAGGGCTTCTGGAATTTGAGGGCTGGCGCCCCGCGCCTCTCAAAGCGCCAAGGACGCCAATCCTCCCCATTCCTTCCCCACTTTTTCATACATGTTCCTTGGTAATGTACCTATGTTTTCTAGTTGATTCAACACTTTAAGGTACATCTAAACATCACAAACTCATCCATAAACATGAGATCATTACCCTTGAATTCATAATCCAATTCGAGGAGAGTTAGGATCAAAGTCAAGTGAAGTTAAAGCCAAGTCTAGAAGTTAAGAAGTAAGTCAAAGCAAGTTTTTTTATAAAGTTTTCAAGAGTCTTTAATGAACGTTTAAACTTCGTTTTAAGGCTCAGGTTTCAAGCAAAGTATAGAGTTGAGTTCATTTCTCAAAAGTTATTAGGGAACTAAGTATTCCCAAAGAAATTTATAAATGTTTTCACATTTGAATAAGAAAGGAACTATGTTTTCCAAGAGAGCCTTTGGGCTAAGCTTTGAGCAATTATCTCAAACTAAAGAAAGATGTGTTTAAAACACTTATGAGCTAAAGAATTTTTGGGAGTAGTATTGAGCACCGAATTGGGAATGCGAGTTCATATTAACTCAACTTTCCATAAGAACCATGTAGCCAACATGGGATCTAACGGGTCATTCTTTTTAGATGATCACGTAAGTTCAGCTAGTGGATCCACTAAGTTAAGTAAGGTCCTATATCACGGCAAGGTATAGGATGGTCCTTGGGCAACGTGAGGTAAAACATTGTATCATCACTAGGGCTCATAGTGGTGGTTGTCGGTTATAGAATCTCCCACTAAAATTATATTACTTTTATATAAGTAAAGTTGAGTTTGTTATCATTTTATCCTTAACGAACTAAGTTGTTTACACTATTTTACAACCTTTATACATTGTATGTGTCTTATTGCTTTATATTGAATTCGGTTATTCATGAGTTGAACAGAGCCAAGGTAAGTGTTCCTTTGTACTCCTTTCAAGCTTAAGTTGTTGTTTAGCTTTCCAGCTCACATACTCGTACATTCAATGTACTGATGCTAGTTGGCCTGCATCTTATTATGATGCAGACACAGGTAACCAGGATCAGCATCCAGCACGCCGTTGATCCAGCTAAGCATTCCAGAGTCAGTGGTGAGCCTCTTTGCATTCCGAATGACTCGGTTATTTTGTTTTTCTTAGTTTTGCTTTATTAGGATGTTGCGGGGTCTGTCCCAACATCCATCTCAGTGTTATAGAGGCTTCATAGACAGTCAGTCAGTTAGTGTTGAGTCTCTCATCTGTGTATTTATATATAAATATATTCTATTTGGAGACACGAGTTGCCTTTTTAGCTAGATTTTATCAGTTAGGTTGTTTTATGACCTTTCCTTGCATGGAGTTATTCTGTTGAGTTAAGTAAGCCAGGCCAAGGGTTTGCTTTGGGCCAGGAATGGTCTTTGAGTGTCGGTCCCGCCCAGGGTGTAGGCTCGGGTTGTGACAGGCGCGTGGGAGATATTTTGATGTCACGTAAACCAAAAAGGTGTACAAAATTTAAAAAATGTGGATTCAGGGGGTAATAGGACCTTAGTTTAGTTAAGGTGTGTCTCTGAGATTTTGTCATAGTCTAGGGAGGTACTTGTACCTTATCCCATTTTTTTTATTCTTTTTATTTTTTTTCTATGATTCCCCCTCCCCCCCAAAACCACCACTCCGGTTATCTTTTTTTTTAATATTTTTTTAATTCAAAATTTTGTGTTCACTCGCTTTTATATATGTGAAACCACACTTTATCCGACTAAGAAAAATTAATGCCACATAAGTTTAGTCAAATTAGGATAAGAAGAAGGGTCTCCTCGAACATTCCACCTTCTACAAATAATAAATAAGTATTAACCAAATAAATAGGGTTCTGATTTATTTTCTAGTGTGTGATAAGTGAAAAAAATATTATTCAAAGAATATTATATATAATCTAGCAAAATACTATAGGCGGAAAGAGGTGGGGAGTGATGGTTCAAGGTGGGATAGTCAAGTGTTAGGAATTGGGGATGTTGGGTGAGTGTGGAGAGCACAATGAATTTGAAATGTCACTTATGAAACTTATTTTCCTTACTTTTATCAGGAAAATCATTTTTAAGGAGCTTTTTTCTCTAGAGAAATTAATTTTAAAAATATTTGACCAACCAAATATGGAAAAATATTTACCTCCACACCAAATACACTTACGTTTTAAAAAAATTCTATTGTTTTTCAAACCTTCATTTTGTTTCATGAAATTTCCTTATATATATTACCTTCATTATTTTAAGTATGTCTTGATCTTTTTGTTAATTATTAGTGGGATAAGACACAAGTACCCCCCACCCCTCCAAACTATGACCGAAATTCTAGAGACACACCTTAACTAAACTAAAGTCCTATAACCCCCCCCCCCCCCCACCCCACCCCACCGAACATATTTTTTATATATTTTGTATACCTTTTGGCTTACGTGGCGTGGAGTCATGGAGTGTGCCACGTAAACCAAAAGGTATACAAAGTTACAAAAAAAATGGGTTTAGGAGTAATAGGGCCTTAGTTTAATTAAGATGTGTCTCCGAATTTTGATCATAGTCTA